AAGGGAGGGGATTCTGCCCCTCTGCTCTGCCGTGGTGAGACCCCCCCTGCAGTGCTACGTCCAGCTCTGGAGCCCGCAGCAGAAGAAAGGCACGGACCTGCTGGAGCGGGTCCAGAGGAGGGCCACAAAAATGATCAGGGGGGTGGAACACCTCTCCTGTGAGGAAAGGCTGAGAGAGTTGGGGTTGTTCAGCCTGGAGAAGAGAAGGCTCCGGGGAGACCTTATTGCAGCCTTTCCAGATATAAAGGGGACTTGTGAGAAAGACGAAGAGAGACTTTCTACCAAGGCCTGTAGTGACAGGGCAAGGGGCAATGGTTTTAAACTGAAAGAGGGTAGGGTTAGATTGGACTAGATGATCTTTGAAGGTCCCTTCCAACCCAAACCCCCATTCTGTGGGTCTATCAAGAGCAAGAGCCAACCCCTGACCCTGGCGCAGAAGATCCTGTGCCCATCTCTCCCCCGATGGCATGCTGCCAGGTGCGGCCACCACTGCCCAGGGACAAACCTGGCTGTGGAGGAAGTCCTTGACCTTGCTGTACTCAGCCTCGAGGTTGTTCTTGAGGACAATCTGGCACCAGCGGAGTCGCAGCTCAGCGTTCTGGGCCTTGGAGATCTTCGGGTACATCTTGCTCAGCCTCTCCACGTTGCCTGCGAGAGGGGGATCATCACTTCCCCCATGGGGGCGGTGCCTCCAGCTCCCAGCCCCTGCTCCGAGGGGACCTCATGAGGCCATCCCGGCTGTGCTGCAAATCCTCTGGGATCCTCCCAGCCACGGGCCAGCCCTAGACCCCCCAAGCCTCCCAGCACCCCCAGCTCTGGGAGCATCCCAGGCACTCGCTGGCTCCAGGGGCCAGGCAGCCCTGCAGAGCCACGTGCCCGGTGGCTTGGGATGCCAGGACAAAGGGTAGGGGGGTCCCTCAGTAAAGAGTGCAAGGAGAGGTGAACACAGAGAGGCAACAGCCCAGCTGAGCCAGCCTGGGGACAGCAGGGCACCTCCCTGCCACTGCACGTGTCCCCATATGTCTAGGGACACGCTTCCCCTGGCTCTCCACTTCCCACCGCACCGATGGAGGCTTCCCAGACACCAGGAACTGCTCCGCTGGACCGCAGCGGGGATGGGCCGATGGCCATGCATCCATGTGTCCTGCTGACGTGTCTCACATCCCCAGCCAACTGGCTGGACTGGGGCACGTCACCCCGTGTCTCCCCTGGGCAGCAGAGCCCTGGGAGGTGACCTGAACCTCACCTTCTGGCAGGGGGGATTTCTGCAGGACCTGATCCAGCAAGTAGACCAGCTGGTACGTCCTCCAGGCTGTGATGTCCACGGCTTCGATCGCCTCCATGTTCAAGCCATCGGCTGCCCAGAGTTCTGCCAGCTCATCTGCCGGCTTCATCAGCTGCTCCCCCGGAGAGAGGTCGGGCAGGTAGGGGGGCCAGCCCGGTGTGTTCAGCCAGCGGTCAAACTCAAAGCCTGTGGCGAGGAAGGGAGGGAGAGCTGGGACGGGTTTTCTGAACCCTGGGTCAGGCGCTGCTGCCCAGACATCCAGCTGCGTTCTCCGTGGGTGTCCCCAGCACCAAACCTGCACAGGGATGGCGACGAGCAGAGACTAATGGGGTGAGGCCAGTAAGCCACCCTGGGCTCGGTGTGTGCTTGTGCAGTAACAGCCCCACCGCCGCCAGAGAGATGAGCCGGCTCCAGCACGGAAAGCTCCTGCCAAGTCTGGCTCCCTGCAGTGAGGCTGAGCTGAGCCTGGGGCACCGGCTGAGTTGGATCCCAGTGCTTGCCAGCGGCTCCACCAGCAAACGCTCACATCCTGGTGCTAGAGACTCACCAGGCTCAGCTGTCCGTGGGGAAACCCCATAAAACAGCACCTGAGCGCAGAGCACGGACTGGATTTGCATGGAAAAAAATCAGGCTGAACAGGCATGTGCCTGAGCACAGGTTAGTGCCTGATCCTGGGCCGGCCAGCGCCACAC